AGGCTGTACTCGTTGCCCATCTCAGTGTGTTTTTCTTTTCGTTTTAGACTTTTGTGTGTTTGCTCCATGTGTGAGGAGCTTGAACTTAGTGTCGTTTGTTTTTGTTTTTTTTTTTCTCTTTTGTGGTTTGTTTATGTTGTAGCCGTCTGGGCTAACACTTATCCCTAACGCACAGTGTGCTAGTGTGTTCTTGGTGTTCGATTCGTGCAGAACTGTCCATCTTCCCGTTTGTTTCTCGCTGACTGGTCCACTTCCAGTCCCCCAGCAGTGTTTCACTCCGGTAACATCGTTCCCCTTGTCTCTCCCTCTACTCCATTGAGGGCAATGTCGTGCTTAAGTGTGGGGGGGTGCTTTGTATCGGTTAGAATATATATCTGTGTGCTTGGAGCCTAGTCCGTTGTCCGAATCGTACGATTTGAGGGCTCCAAGTACTGCTGTTTGATCATATTGGCACTGTGTTTTGATTGATGAATTGAATGGTTTTCGGATTGATGCATGACAGCTTGATTTTGACTAGGACAATCTATGATGAGGACTGAGACATGCAGTAGAATTGTGTAGGGGTTCAGTTCTTTCAACTGTTTGCTTGCCAACTGTGACTTGATTTGATCACTTGTTTTTGACAGTCGTTTATGCATCTAGTTCAGGGTATCAGAATGTGAGATAGAGCATATAGGTAGCCATGTGAGATTTGAGCATGCTCGTTTCTTTCTTGTGCGATAGATCCCTCTTCCATGATGTGTAGCATTCACGTTGTCACTAGCTAAGATGATGGGGGCATAGGATTAGCCCACGACCAAGATTGACTGTCCTGATGTGTCATACCCCCTAGTCAGCCCCTTTGAGCCGTGTGTTATCCTTTCTTTTGGTCTATAATGAAAAATCACCCTTTTGCATCTTTTAGAAGGTTCCACAGAGTGGTTTTTACATATTCTCTGCTGTTTCTGCTAAAGTTTATGTGAGTGTTGGAGGTAGTGCTTAAAAGTTGGGCAGGTATTTGAAATATGTGCAGAAGTGGTGGCTCGCTTAAGAAATGAAAAGAAAATGAAAGAAAAACAAAGAAAAATTGAAAGCAAAAGAGAGCCACTACCAAAAAATCTGAATAATGCCCAGTAAGTAGCGTTTCTTAGCAGTCTGGCTTGGAAATGATGACATTTATACCTCCTTCGCTTTTGTGCTCTTGAGATAGTGAGTAATGCAGAATAGCAGAAAGGAAATACCGGTTTGTTTGACTGTGATTGTGTGGGTTTGGAAATGTGGAACCTTGTGCTATGAATACTTCCACCACTTAAAAAGCCTTTTCCCCATGTCCAGGACCCTAGTCAGTCATTTGAACCTGTGTCTAAGACCTCCTGATTAGTTAGTGGTGACACCCCATTTGTGAACTCTAGCATTTAGAGGCTGCCATCATGGTGAAGAGATGTTAGGGATTGAGAGAAATAACATGCGCATTTTTCGCATCAAATTGTCCTGACCCCACTAGTCGAGAGTGAGTGATTCATTTTCATATTCTATATACTCTTGTACCCCGGTGAGGACCTAGATTGCTCGGTCTCTATTCTGATGTTTTGAGTTGGATGCATGAGTTGACTGTTTTGAGTAAGTGTTGAGTCAAGTCTAGGTTGGTTGGTGAACAGAAGGGAGACTCTTCCTTTACTCGATTTTGCTGCACTCGAATGTCCTTTGTGGTGGTTGTCCAGGTTGCTTTTGACGTTGTTCATGTGTTGATGCTTGAAAACCAGTACGACTCATGTGTTCTGTGCCTTTATGACTTGTCCCCAATGTTGGTTGATTGAAATATGTAAGCTTACCTGGTGTCTGACTTGGTTTGCTTGGGGACAAGCAAACGGTTAAGTGTGGGGGAGTTTGATAGACCGTTATTTACACATGTTTTTACCCCTGTTATTATACCGTTTGAGGTATTGATTCTCGTGTTTTAGGCTGATTTCATGCTAGGTTATGCTTGGTTGTGATATTTCAGGTCCTAGTACGTGAATGGAGGCTTGGGAGCGAGTTTGGGGTCGATTGGACGAAGATCGGATGCATGGCGAGGTTCTAAGGAAGCTTGATGACTCGGTATTTGCACATGTTTTCCCCTTTGTTTCTTGATTGTTTCAGCTTGAATTATCGTGTCTTTGGCCTATTTTATGCTAGGTTGTGTTCCTTTGTCACATTTCAGGTCCTAGCACATAAAGTGAAGCATAGGCGCAAGTTTCAAGTCAATCAGAGATCAATTGACGATTCGGGAGAAGAAACTCGGGTATGACCTGAAGAAGAATGGATTTCTACCTCACTTTATGGACAAAGAATCATGCAAGCTTGTCATGAAAAGAAATAGGACGAGACTACGAGCGTCTGGGATCAAACGGCGACTGATTCGGAGTCCGGACGAGGGAGAAACGAAGCATTAAACAGAGGCTGAGCAAGCCACACGGGCACAACCCACACGGCCGTGCAAGGGGCACTTTTGCCCGTGTGGAATTCACCGAGCCTTCACACGGGCAGCTGGGAAAGCCACACGGCCGTGTGGCCTGGCCGTGTGAGTCGGGAATTGATGTTTAAAACCCGATTTTCAGCAAAAGGAAAGGGGGAGAGCTGGGTTTTGGATCCCAAACACCCAAGGGACGAACCCTAGAGAGAGAGAGCGACTTGGAAACATTCTTGGAGCTATTTTGGAGGATTTCTTCGCCATTTGAGCTCGGGAATCAAGCTTGGAGATGGAGATTGAAGATCTAGATCAGATTTCTGCAGTCTCTCTCTTCTCTATGGAGTAACTTCCCTTCACTTAGGTTTTGAGGAACCCTAGTTCCATGAGTTAGGATCTTTCTTGTATGAAGTTTTGGATGCTTTATTGTTTGATTATAATCGATTGAGGCATGATTTATTGAGTCAATTGAATCTTGATCAAATTCTCTTGATTTCTGCTTTAACCTATGATAGATAGAATCTGATTAGGTTAAGAGAGCTTCCTTGATTGATAGTGGTGAATTGGTTATACGAGAGTTAGTCAATCTACTGCTTTGTACTGGAATCCAATTCCGGTAGTGGAGTTTTGTGTTCATAGCCTCAGCTTTCTATCCTGGTGAAGACTAGTCGTCTGCCGGGTAGTTGGACTGAGAGGGCTTGGTCAGCTTATGAGATTCCAAGCTAATTTAGGATCTTCCGCAGTTTAATCAACAGTAGATCAACCAAAGGTAATTGCAACTTGGACCTAATTGAGGAGCTAGGGGGAATCATACCTAAGTGAGTTCCCAACTTGTAATTAGTAGAGTAGTCAGTAGAGTAGTTTATCAATCAATCCTTAATCTAGTTTGCTAGATAATGAACTGAAGCTGAGTAATAGTAACTCTAGAGACCCGTGGATTCGATATTTATTACTTGTGCCACTATACTGCAGTCCCTTTCATTGGTTACACTTGGCCATTGTTAGGTTTTGTGTTTTAGCATGTCAAAGCCACACGGGCAGTCCTGGGTATCACACGACCGTGCAAGTTGCAATTGTGGCCGTGTGACTTTCGCCGAGAGCAAACACGGGCATCCCAGGAAATCCACACGGCCGTGCGACCTTGGCCGTGTGGGATGGCTGAAGGCCAACTTAATGATACGCTGCGTTTCGACTCACACGGGCAAATGGGTGAGCCACACGGCCGTGTGGCCTGCCCATGTGAGTCGGGAAATTCTGCTTTTTCAGCCAATTTCGAGCCAAAAGTGGGAGAATCGGATTTTCAGAGCAAAAACAGAGCCCTAGAGAGAGAAAGTACGAAGAACACACCCTAGAAGCTATCTTGGAGCTGGGTTTCATCGAATCGAGCTTGGAGATCGTCATAGGAGTGGAAATCATCATCCCGGAGCAGATTTTCCTCATCGTTATGAGTATGACTACTCCGATTACTGTTTTCTCCTCTCTCTATGGAGTAGAACCTTTCTCTCACTTGGGTATGAAGAACCCTAGTTCCTTGTGTTAGGGATTTGATTGTAAAGACTTGGGATGATTATACTGTTTGGTTTTAATCTAATGATGCATGTTTGTTGAATTGATTGAAGTCTGATCAGCTTTTCTCGATTTCTGCTGCAACCTGAGATATATAGAATCTGATTAGGTTGTTAGAGCCTCTTCATTCGATAGTAGGAGATTGGCTATACGAGAGTTAGCCAGTTACTGCTTTGTACTGGAATTCAATTCCAGTAGTGGAGTTCTGTGTTCATTGCTTCAGCTTTCTATCCCGGTGAAGACTAGTCGTCTGCCGGGTAGTTAGACTGAGAGGGCTTGGTCAGCTTAAGAGATTCCAAGCTACTGTCGGATCTTCCGCAGTCTAATCAACAGTAAATCAACCCAGGGTAATTACAATTGAACCTAACTAAGGAGCTAGGGGGACTCATTCCCGAGTGACTCTTACCTGCTTTTGAAAACCGAACCATTTCCCGCTTTCTTACTACTTTTGCTTTAAACAACAATCAATCGAATTAGTTGGCTAGATAATAGACAATCACGGAGTAAGCAGTAGATCTAGGCACCGGGTTGATAATAGAACTTGCCTGTTACTGCATTCCCGGACTGCGATTACACTTGGTCGCAGTTTGGTGTTGTGTTTTGGCGTGTCAGTCTGCCAATGCCCTGCTACAAACGCCTCTACAGATTCTCGACTTGACCCGAGAGACATCATCTTAGCTTCAATGTTTTTCTTCATGTGCCACACACATAATAAATGAGCTGAAGATGGAAAGATCTCACGCACGGAGACACCCAACCCTCCCTCCTTATCGGTGACGAACGCATCTGGTCTTCGACCACCAAAAACATTCTTCAATTGCGACAAAACCCAAGCATATGTCTCCTTTGTCTCATCTGAAACCAATGCGAACCCTATGTTGAAGTTCTTCTTCACCAAACTAACACCAATCAACTGAACCAGTGGTTGCTTATACTTGTTGGTCTTGTACGTCGAGTCTATCAAAATAACGAAATACCATGCGCTCAACATCTTAATAGATTCTGGATGTCAAAGGAAGAGTCTAGTAACACAACGGTCATCATCAAAATCAACCCCAATGAAGTAGCCAAGACGGTCAGCTTCTATCAATGTCCACCGCATAGGGGAAAGGCCACCCAATCTCTCGCGCCTAATCTTTGTTGTCTCGTTATAAACCTGATCCATGTTGTGATGAGCATCATACTTCCTATTTATAAAACTTCTTATATCTCTCGCCTGAGTATCTGTTGCCTCCAACTCCTTAATTTCATTTTTTTCTCCTTTGAAAGAGCATTCCTTTGCTTGCTTCCTTCAGAATAAACCTCCAATTTGTGATTGTGAAATCCCTTTGACTTCCCAGATCTATCCATACCACCCAAAATTCTCCACTGACATTTGCCATTTACCAATGAAGCCCGCACTACAACTTGGAATTGACAACCTTGTTTGCCTGATTTTGATTTGACCCGTCTTGTCTTCGTCAAATCTGGGGTATATGATTTGCTCCTATTACCATGGTTGCAATCCATATATACCCGCGGATAGGCTTCTCCTTGGTTTCGCTTGATTGATCCCACAACCAAGAAAAATCTATTTCTTTGGGCAATATTCCTTGCCGCCGCACAAGCTTCGTCACGGGTATCATAAACAACATCGCTTATGAACAATGATGTGTAATCAAAATTGTCACCCTCATCACCTCCAGAATCTCCCTATAATTAAATATGATAAAAACATATAAGGTTGAGCCATGCAAGAATTATGGTACAATAATGAAACTATCAAACAAAAATAAAATACTTACCGAATTACTCATAATAAACTCCAAAGGAAATATCCTTATTCAAACTTGATTATCTTCGATTACACGTCTTTATTTCTATTATGTTCGGTAAAATTCGTAGGTCTTACATTCTCTATTTATAGAAGTTGCAAAAGCATATACTGTCCTTCTAGGAATAGAAAAACAAATCCTACTCGGAAACATAACATTACTTGAACAATGACTGCAACTACTAATTCATCTTCTAAATAATCAAATTAGATAAATATGATGTCCTTTTCCTTTGAGGAATTATTTAATTATTTTATATTGTTAATAAGTGTCCAACCTATGTAAAAAAAAAAAGTGTCCAACCAGACCAGATTCAAACGTTCAACCAGATCAGATCCAACCCAACCGATCCCTGCGGTTGATCTCCTTTCAACCACACTTGACCCGGTCCCTAAAAAAAAAAAACAGACTTGACCCGCAGCGCTTCCTTCTTCGTCCTCACCAGAGAAGCGCGAAGGTAGACTTGACCGGCGCACTGAGCACAAACGGCAGCGGGAGAGATTCTATCTGCGTCCTCTATCGGCGCACCAGCAGGCATGGCGCGAGGGATTCATGGAGAACGGCGACGATGATTAGGGCGACGACGATGATGGGATTTTCGGGCGACGGCGGCGATGATTCTTCTCGGTGCGCGATTAAGGGCTTCTCGATGACGCTGATTCCTCCCGGGCTCCGCGACCAGGCCCTTCCTTCCGAACGCCTTTCCGAGCGATCAACTGCTCGCCGGATGATTCCTATCCTCGCCGACGATGAGCCTCCTTCCAGGGCGAACGGCAGTGGTAGGGCGGCTAGGGTTAGGCATTTAGTTAGAAATTGGAGATTTTTTAAGGGCAAAATCATGAACTTTTGAAAATTAGGGCGATAAATTTAAAAAGTTTGGGCGTTAATTAGTACCTCTCTTCTCCTGTATTAGTGGACCTACTTCTCGTTTGCTAGGCATTAGTTTGTCCCAATAGTTGGCTTGTCCCTGAAATTTGTTAGAAATATAGCTTGTTATTACATAGGGTTTCAACTCAGAATCACCATGATGATTTTTTAGTGTAATTCCTAGCTTAATATTCTTTTCCATCTCCTTTAGTTCCTCTTCATTTAGATTTCAATTATGAATCTATAATTCTTAGTCCGAAGTTCCTTATTGTAAGACACTCTTGAGTGTCCATATATCCTTGTTCTTCTACTTTGTCTTGTGATCGGGATCTAAATTTTTCTCGGGTCGTTTGGTTGATGGAATGTGGGTTGAATAGTGATCTAATACGAGCACAAGGGGTGCTTGTTTTGATCGAAGTACGCAGCTAACGTATCAATCCAAGGGCTGAATTGATTAAACAAAACTCGAACCAAAAACAGAATCGTTCTTGAGTGTTTGTGATAGAAGGCGGATCTGGTGACTAAGGGGGGTGTTTAGTCACTTGACTAAGCCCCTCCTAGCTCTTAGATCCGGACACACCAATCTGAAAAAGGCTTTTTAATTAATGACAGGGGTAGTTTGAGTATTATGGAAAATTGCAAAATATACAAACCAAACTTAGAAACAGTACAAACCATACAAACATACGAACAATACAAACTATAGTGAGAAAACATACAAACAATTTTACAAACAATACGAAACATACAAACAATACAAACTAGACCGACAAACATTATAAAACATACCAACAGTGCAAAATGTCACTACTTACAATACAAAACAATAAAGTTGTATTACTAATCAATGAATACAAAGTATACAAATGACAATATAAAGTATACAAACTAGACAAACCAACATTACAAATTACAATGTATACAAATTAGTCGGCTTAATTGCAAGTTTGGTCACTTGAATTGCTACAAAATTTCACGTTTTCCACTCAAATTAATTTATTCCATTTATAGTCACTTAAATTAGGTTAACAGTCCAAGTTAGGGAACTGGCCGTTAGTCTCCGTTAACTTTTGCTGATGTGGCGGTCAACTCTTATAGTTGACCGTTAAATGCATGACCTGGCAATTATAAAATTTAAAAATTTAAAAAATTTAAAATTGAAAATTTCCACCTCAACTATTAAAAAATAATACAAATAATAATAACATTTTCTAATCTAACCTCGGTTGCCACCTTGTTGTGCCCGAACAGAGTCCCCGTCATCCGCCCCGTCTAGCCACCACCCCTCTTTCGGTCATCGTTGCCGACTCGCCGTCAGCTCCACCAAGCTAGTTGGCCTCTTCGACGAATCAGGGTTTAGCGTCTCGATCGGCAAATCCCGAGACGACCCATTCTGCTTTACTGCTTCCTCGTCGGGTGGAACTCTATCTTCTGCTGCATCATCGCCGCAGTAACAAAAGAAGGTGGAGGCAAAGAAAATCTCCGCCGACACTGACGAGGACGATCCATCACGAAATTAACTCTTTGGCTTGAGCTACCCAACAATGGTGGAGTAACAGAAGAGTGAATTCTCAGAATCAGCAGCAGCCGACAAAACCCACTGTTTGGTTGTCATTCCAGGGCAAGGCCACATCAGCCCAATCCTCCAATTCTTGAAGCGCTTAATCCCCAAACGAATCCAGGTCACCACGCCCCGACCCGATTCATCGCCAACACCGCCACCCTCACCGGCGCCGCCGGGAGCGACATCCATCTCCGCCCCATCTTCGACGGCTACGACAAGGCGGAATCGCTTCCACCGAGGACGGCCAGACCTACTTCGACACGTTCCGGCGAGTGGGTTCCCAAACCCTCGCCGATCTAGTTCGTCAACAGAGGAATTCAGGCCACCCTGTCCACTTTGCGCCTACGACCCTAAAAGAATACATCGACAATAATCACACAAAACCCAGATCAATGAACTGAGTTCGAATAAGAAAAGGGAAGGAAGGAACTCGTGTACAAAGAAAAGGGAGGTGATTGATTTTGATCCAAATAATAAAACAAAAACCTATTTTTGTTGTTTTTGGGTAAAGTGGTTTGTTTAATGCACAAAGTCACAAACGTAGACTTTTGTGACAAACGTACCTATTTTCATGTAGTAGAAGCCTATGCACTCGACTCTCATCCATGCTTCTCGAATTGAGCTCCAAAGTAGACTTCACGGTCACATTTACAGGCTTAGCCATTTTCAGACAGTTTTCCTGTTTTGAGATGACAACTATAAGGCATTGGAAAATGACCTTAATGACTTGTTCTGGATTCTCCAATACTCCCAACATGTAGATTACCACTTGGTCTTCAATACAATCCCTTAATTTTGAATTTTCATCGACCCATTTGAGAGAACCAGGCTTGCAAAGTAGGCCACCTGAAACAGTCAAAACACTTGGCCAAAAATCAGGATTCTTCATATGAGTTGAGATGATTTCTTTGACAAGTAATTCCGACTTTAGAAATGAGCAATCTGGGATTGCATCATGATCGGAAGTGGAACCTTATGCTTGTTTGGTCGCATAAGGGGCAGAAATGTGAGACGAAATCTCGGAGTTGAAATCCAAATTCCGCTGAAGAGCGGTAGGCTTTTCACACTTCTGGGGTAGGTTCCGAGTTATATTTGTTTTTTAAGTTTATTAATTGATAGCAATGGTAAAAAAATATTCTTCTTTCAGTTAAAAATTATGCAGTTTCTCCCCTCCTTAATGACGGTTTATCCCTGCAAAAAACTTTGGGAAATCTATTCCTATCACATTTTATGCATTTTGTCATTTCATGCATGCAATAATCACAGTACGACCAGTTATTGAATCTCGTAGAATATGGTGTTGCCTCTTATGATCTGGTTCTGTTCTCTAAGACCCTTTTATCTTGCAGTGTCTGCTGATAACACCATCCTTGCAACTGGAAGTTATGACACCACTGTAATGGTGTGGGAAGTAGTATGTGCCAGAGCCCACGACAAAAGAGTTAGAAATGTACAAACAGAATTATCTCGTAAAGATCTCGTGATTGCTCAAACCCCATTCCATATCCTCTGTGGTCATGATGATATAATCACCTGCTTGTTTATCAGTGCGGAGCTCGATATAGTCATCAGTGGTTCAAAAGATGGGACGTGTATTTTCCATACCCTTAGGGAAGGCCGATATGTGAGGTCTTTGCGCCATCCATCTGGCCATCTGCTGTCAAAGCTTGTTGCTTCAAGGCAGTGGCGGATCCAGAATTTTTTTATAGGGGTGTCCTCTTTAGAAAAATAAAAAAATAATAATTCATAAATAAAAAAATACATGACTACTACAAATTTTAACAAAAGACCACGACGTGTTATCATATTCTGAAAAAAATATAAAATATACTCGACGTCTTCACTGCTCAACAAATCTGTATATCATACTAGACAATAATATACGAACTGATCTCATATTCGAATTCTAACCTTGTTCTTTATGTAACTCAAAGTTGAAAGACTCTTTTAACTCTTGCTGTGTAACTATAAAATCAATTCAAATTAAGGATAACCCACAATTAGTTTAGTTGTTAGGTTTTGAAAATAGTTGGGGATAAGCAATAATGTTTTTAGTTTTTCACTATTTCTTAGTGTTTAAATAGAACATGAAATGAGTTGCAACCTAAAGAATATGTTTAATAATAATAGTGTCCTAAGTTTGAATAACACAAACTACCATTTATATTTTTTTAATCTTACACAAACTACTATCGAGAGTAGTATAATCATTTTTTTCAAATTTAAGGGTGTCCCGGATTACCAATTATAATTTTTTTTCCACACGAAACTATAGCCGGGGGTTGGATAATCGTTCTTCTAAATTTTAGGGGTGTCCCCGGACACCCCTAAATGTCCATGTATCCGCCACTGCTTCAAGGCATGGGCAAATTGTGTTCTATGCCGAGGATGATCTCAGCCTGCATCTCTACTCTATCAATGGCAAACATCTG